CTGAATCCCTCCAGTGGAATTATAAACCCCTAGGAAGGATATCTGAATCCCTCCAGTGGAGTTATAAACCTCTAAGAATGATATCTGAATCCCTCCAGTGGAATTATAAACCCCTAAGAAGGATAACTGAGTCCCTCCAGTGGAATTATAAATCCCCAGGAAGGATATCTGAACCCCTCCAGTGGAATTATAAACCCCTTGGAAGGATATCTTAATCCCTCCAGTGGAGTTATAAACACCTAGGAAGGATAACTGAATCCCTCCAGTGGAGTTATAAACCCATAGGAAGGATAACTGAATCCCTCCAGTGGAATTATAACCACCCAGGAAAGACATCTGAATCACTCCAGTGGAATTATTATCCCCCAGGAAGAACATTTTTTGAAACCCCTCCAGTGAAAATAAAATCCCTCCGGTGGTCTCCAGTAGAATCGAAATCTTACTACGAACTTCTTTGAGTCAAGAAAGAGTTTGTTAATCGCCCCCCTCTGCTAAAATTTAATTTTTATTTGATAAAATAAAAAGATTTTAAAATGTTCCTGAAGTGGTGGCACAAGATGTTTTAAAACTAGCAACAGCAACCTCATCACTTTCCTCATTCTCCTGAATATTGACAGTTTAAAATCAACAATTCGAAAATACAGGTATTTTCCAAGGGCTAACCCATTTATGACATTCCAGGTAGACCGAACCCCTGTAGAAATCATAGTTGTCACTGTTCTAAGGGAGGGGTAAGGCCCTTGTTGCCCCCGGCCCCTGTAGACGCTCATGACTGTAGTCTCAAATTCAATTGAAGTTCTGGGCCGATATTTGGTTAACTATACGGTGATTTTTAAAAGTCATTTAAAAAAAAATTTCAAATATTTATAAATATTTCAATCACTTGAAAATTATTAATTAAAATGTTACCAAATCTATGGCTTTCTGGAGATCTTGTATCAGCGTAGTGTAGGACATATTAGCACAGTTCAGCAATTGTTCAATCATGTTCTTAATATCAGAATTATGATAAGGATTAAGATCAAGATCAGGATTAAGATCAAGATCAGGATTAAGATCAAATTCAGGATTAAGATCAAGATCAGGGTTAAGAACAAGATCAGGATTAAGATTAAGATAAGGATTAAGATCAAGATTAGGATTAAGATTATGATCAGGATTAAGATCAAGATCAGGGTTAAAATCAAGTTCAGGATTAAGATCAAGATCAGGGTTAAGAACAAGATCAGGATTAAGATTAAGATTAGGATTAAGATCACGATCAGGATTAAGATCACGATCAGGATTAAGATCAAGATCAGGATTAAGATCAAGATCAGGGTTAAGATCAAGATCAGGATTAAGATCACGATTAGGATTAAGATCAAGAGGATTAAGTTCAAGATGAGGATAAATTTAATTTCAAATAACCTGAAGTTCAGGTTTGACTAAAATGTCGAGATATGTTGCATTATCCACAGTCACTTTCCATACCTTTAATAATATCAATAATATTTTTTTTCTATTTTTCTTTTCAATGATATTCTGAAAGAAGCGGAATCTATGAAAAATTCAGAGAAGGATTGGAAATTAGCAATTATTTTTTAACTTGTTTTTTTGAAGCATTTTTTTCAAAAAACATTCATTATGGTCTGCCTTTTTTATGCTTTCATCACTTGAAGAATATGAATGAATACGTTCAGAATTAGACAATTAAAGTTTTATTTAATTAATTAATATATGAAAAAAATTCTTAATAAATCCAGTTATTTTACAAATGGCAGACCATTGGTATTGGTAATGTCAAGACTTGTAAAATTAGGTAAACAAATAAATGCCGTAAATTGTTACAAAGATTTAAGATTATATTAATTATTTAAAAACTTCGCTTCTTTAGGAAGCTTGAGTCTTTCTTTATAACAGTTTAGTCCAGAACTTCGGAGACATCCAAAGAATTTATAAAATGTCACCTAGTTGACAATTATATCTAAATCTCAGTAATTGTAAAAAAATATCCATAAAATATACTGGAACAGTTTTACAGAGCTCCATATAATTATTCAATATAAAAACTAAATACATGCAGCATTCCATTATCAGCAGGTTTAGAAGACGACATTTTACGCAGAATTCCAATATCAGCAGGTTTAGAAGACGATATTTTATGAGTTCTTGCGATGGCTCCGAAGTTCTGGGTTAAACTATATTTTATCAAGAAAAAAAAAATCCTTTTTAAAAATGGTTAATTGTTGCAAACCAAGATGTGCAGTCTCTCACGCATAAATCAATATTTTTCCAATTACTACGTTTAATCTAAGGCTAGACGCAAGCGCCATGCATTTTAAAAATGTAAATATCTAGGGCTACAAAAAAGTATAAGAGTGTTGGTGAGGTAAATAAGGTCATGGCGTTGCGATACTTTAAAGTCGAGGCTTTCTAAAAATTTGATGACTAACTTCAGAGTTTTCTAGATTTCAGTGCGCGTAGTTAAAAACAAATGATTGACCTCTGTAGAGGATCGTATGGCCTCTATAAGAGGTTCATCTGTGTCCTCTGTTCTGAGAACGGAAAATCCATTGTACAATGTTCTTTCAGTCTCAAATATGTCAACACCTATAAACAAATATTTTAACTACCATGGCTGTCCCACGAAAAAATAGTCTTTGAGGTTTAGATTTATTTGTGACATTCAGTTGTTAACCTACTTTAACATGTAGGATTTTTGAAACAATAAACACAATATTCACCTTGTCCTGGTATTTCCAAAATGTGGTCAACCTTTTTTGTAGTGTCAATATTACTGGAGATGTTTAGAATTTCGATCAGATTTCAATTTTATTATTAAAGCCATATAATGGTCGAAATCTGAATGAAATTCTTCCTATCTCCGGTATTATTTAAATCCCAAAAATGGTAGACCACATTTCGGAAATATTGGTAAAATGTGATCTTTAGCTTTAGAAATTTACTTTTAAAATTAGGTTTACGAATAAACGAATAATTGCCTCCAATTATTTGAAATTATTTTAAAGATCAAGAACGACCTCCAATTCGTCTTCCTTTGTAATATTCCTTGGGACACCATTATTACAAAGTGAAAGCTGATAAATCCAAAAGTTTTAAAAAAAGCTTGAGCTTTAAAAAAAGTGGACGAATATTCATCGGAAAATTGGTATAATTTTAGACAGAAACATATACAATTATTAAAAACTTTTTCAATGTATGTGGTATGTCCGATTTATGAACACGACGATATTCTTTAATCGTTCATTTGAAAAAAAAATTAGGCAGCCATTGTCGTTTTTTGTCTTGGTTTTCCTGACAACTTCTTTCTTTTTCTGTTTGCATAATAAACTCACTTAAATAATAAATGCCAATACGGGCAAAACAAAGCCCAATCAAAGATATGATCAGTAATGAATTTATTTAAAGAAAATGCAGGATATCTCAAAAACGATGTGTAAACTCTTGTTCAATGCAATCCCAAATCATGTATAATACAGGGTGTCCCACGAAACATGACAATGGCAAGACGACTTGAAAGTCGTCTTTGATCTTTGAATTGATTTTTGACATTTATTCTTCTATCTACTTTAACATGTATGATTCTTGAAACAATTATCACATAATTCTCCTAGCCCTGGCATTTCAAAAAAGTGGTCTGCGTTTTTTGTGCTTTCAATATTACCGAGATATAAAGAGTTTGGTTCAGATTTCAATTTTGTTAAATATAAAAGCAAAATTGTCGAAATCTGAACGAAATTCTTCATATCTCTGGCAATATTGAAAGCACAAAAAAGGCAGACCACATTTTGGAAATGGCAGGACTAGGGGAATTTTGTGATTATTTTCTCTAGAAATTTACTTCTTAAGTTAGGTTGACAAATAAACACAGCAAATTATATCAAAAATCAAGACGACATTCAAGTCGTCTTGCATACTGTAATGTTTCGTGGGACACCCTGTACCTGTGACTGTTTGCAGTACAGTAATAGCTGTAAAAAGGATGAAAAGCATTTCTAAACTTCTGTTCATCTAAACCTTGATTCCTCAGAGCCCAAAACTAATAAATAAGATATTAAAACTTGATTCCTATAATTCTAATTCAAATGATTTTTTAAAGCATTATAATATTGGAACAATTATTCTAATAAAACAGCCGGATGTCCCAAAAACACTATTTTACGTAATGCGCTTTCAACATAGTTGATTATTATATTTGCGGATATTTTCAAATTTTAAAAAACATTTTCGAATAACAAACTGTAAACTATCATAATATCAGGCTGCCACAGACCTCGTATTGCTGTCAATCAATCATAAATGTGTTTGAGATTTTAAAAATGTCCAAAAATAAAAAAATCGAACCACACAATGAGCGCTGTAGTACTTTAGGAGGGTTTTGGGACACGGAAATTAATGAATTTGAGTTTCGCCCCTGAGCTGCCTATCTGCTGAATCAAATTTGAACCGCCAACTTGACTCTTTGACTTTAAACCAGTGGTTCAAATTTGAACCAGCAGTAGTTGAGTGTCCTCGGTTTGCTAATAAGAATTGAATTGATGTTAACATTACTAAACCTTAAAGGAAATGTACATCTATTTGAAAACACATCAAACAAAAGTAAAATGGACGAAAGATTGAAATCTTAATGTTTAAAAAATCATAACTCCTCTTATTGTACAGGTATAATTGAGAAGAACAAAAATGTGTTAAAATCATTTACATATAACCGAATAAATTTGCTCTTCTCATACTTGTGTAAAATCAAAATTATTATTTAAAAAATTGGATTATTTTGTACATTTGAAAATCAATTGAATTGTGTTAATATTGTTTGAATCTAACCTCTGCTTCGGTCTAGATCCGACTGATACTTTTCACTAGCTCTCCACATGCTTTATATTACAGGGCAGGGTCAAATATACGTGAATACAAAGAGATAGGATATTTTTTAAACCAATGGAGGGGTGGGGGGGAGGTGTCCTTAGAAGAAAAGTTTTTACAATCATTTAATGTTCCGAACGGAAAACACAAATTCTTTTAAAATTTGTTAGTTTGAATCAGGTTGAGAAAATAAAATAAACATTAATTATTTTTCCGCTAACCATGGGCATGGAGAATAGAGATCAATTTTCTAAATGGTCTAGGGGGGAAATTTACCCCAGGATTCTATTTCCTTAAATTTATTTTCATAGACGACATTTTAAGACATTTAAAGAAATCTGCAAACACATTTACAAAGAACAAATAATTCAATGTAATGATGATAAAGAAATGATTGACTATACTATTAATTTCTTCACAAATTTCTTATAAAAATGTGTTCCTATACAACAAACTAGTCTACTGCTTAGATCATTATTATTTTTTTCTCTATAAAACTATAGTTTCAGTTTAACTACAGTGAAACCCTTAATAACGAATACATCGAAAGAATTCATCAAATGTCGTATTCTTCACTTTCTGATAATGGAATATTGCAGATATATAGTTTTTTAGTGAAATGATTATATGGAACTCTTTAAAACTGTTCCCGCATATTCATGGTTATTTATTTATTTTCGCAAATACTGAAATTTAAGAAATATAGTATAAAACTCATTGAAAAATTGTCAAGACGACATTTGATAAATTTTTCAGATGTATCCGTTATTAGGGTTTCACTGTACGTTACCTAGCCAGTCTCTCCCTTTCAGGGATTTAACTCACCCTCGATTAGTGCAATACTGACAAATCTCTTTTTTAAATGTCAAAAAATTTAAGGTTAAAAACTGCTTGATTTTAATTTTCAAAAAATCAAATTTGTTTGAAAAAAAAAATTTGTGCATATGAATGAACAACAGCTGTTTTCTTCAGGCAATCAAAAGCAATACAGGGAGTTTTTTTTTCATTACGTTCTGAAGATTTTTTTAACTTTTCACCAACAGTCATGTTTCGTGGTAAATAAAAATTCACAAAAAAAACACATGGAAATTTGTTTAATACTTCTTAATGAAATGAGAAAAAAACTAAAAAAACTACCCTGTATATTCAGCCAATATAAGGGGGAAACTGGTGTTTGACAATTCTTACAGATTGTTCGATAGGTCAAACATCAACCTAACTATTTCTTTCACAAGTATTAAAATCTATAAATACATTTTGCTTGTCTGTCTCTATGCCTGGCTCCAATAAACATAAAAACAGCTAAACCGTTCGGGCCCAAATTTTGTGTGGGACCTCACAGTCACAGGAAAGGTTTATTGATGACCAAATAAAAAATTAGCCTCCAACAAAATTCGATTTTGATTAAATTTTGAAAATCCACGAGATTTTTTTTTATAAAATCCACGACATTTTTGTTTATCACAGAGAAAATGTTCCCAATTGAAATAAAAGATGGGCGCGAAGCGCCCTAAAAGCCTACTATTAAAAAAGAGAACACAAAAGTAATCATTAAAAGCTTATAAAATAATTGAATTTAATTAACCTTGATAATATGGGATATGATTAATTTTATGTATAATTATGAATTAATTTTTTTGTTTTATATTTTCCAGTTTTTAATTACCTATTATTCTTCCTTCCGGCGTTGATACATACATCCGGAAACTGACACGCTCAACAAGATGTACTGCAATATAACTGACACGCTGAATAAGATACATACTTCAATATTACTGACACGCTCAACAAGATGTACTGCAATATAACTGACACGCTGAATAAGATACATATTTCAATATAACTGACACGCTCAACAAAATGTACTTCAATATAACTGACACGCTCAACAAGATGTACTGCAATATAACTGATACGCTAAACAAGATGTACTTCAATATAACTGACACGCTCAACAAGATGTACTTCAATATAACTGACACGCTCAACAAGATATACTTCAATATAACTGACATGCTCAACAAGATGTACTGCAATATAACTGACACGATGAACAAGATGTACTTCAATTTAACTGACACGCTGAACAAGATGTACTTCAATATAACTGACACGCTCAACAAGATTTACTTCAATATTACTGACACGCTCAACAAGATGTACTGCAATATAACTGACACGNACTGAGACTCTTATCTTCAAATCCTTATATCTTTGCAATCTGATTATAAGTTTTAAAGATATTAGGATTAAAAAGTTAAGTTTGTGACGAGTAATCAGATTCTTTCATTTTGCAACACTATTTTAAACTTTAATTTTAAAAGACGACATTTGAATCCTTCTTTGTCCAGGGAAAGTTTGGAAAGCTGATTGTTAAGAGAGAGAGAGAGAAAGAAAACTGGAGAGAACAGTGAAGAAAATCATAGATAGATAGATAGTATATAAATACAGTTTACACCTAGGATATACAGCTATAACTGCTGGCAGAAATGGTTTAAAACCTATTGGGCTTCATTAGATTCAATCATTTTCATGCATGGCATTATTGTTCTAAACAGGTATAACAATTATTGTCAATTAATTTATTTTGTTTGGAAAAATTTATTGTTTACTTTTTGATGATATTGCGTAATAATAAATTTTGTTTTCATTTTGTGTGGTATAAAGGGGGTGCCGGGGGTTAACATTTTTTAAACATCATATGATAAAAATAACAAAAAGACATTTTCTGAGATAACTTGCAGTGCTCAATATTTAGAAATGGACCTCGAAGACCGATTAATTATGGAAGAAGAAGAAGAAAACTTTCACCTTTCAAGGTTAATCAATTTATTCAATCAAATTCAAAAGATCGATCTTTAAAACCAATTTATTCAATCAATCCATGAGATAAATTTTCTAAATCAATTTTATCAATAAATTCCACTAGATCAATTTTCTGTATCAATTTATACAATCATCTCCACAAAATCAATCTTCAAAATCAATTTATTCAATCAATCCATAAGATAAATTTTCTAAATCAATTTTATCAATAAATTCCACAAGATCAATTTTCTGTATCAATTTAAAAGAGCAATTTTTAAATCAATTTATTCAATCAATTCAACAAGATCAATTTTCCAATAAATTTATTCAATTAATTACACAAGATCAATTATTTAATCAATTTATTCAATCAATTCATAAGATTAACTTTTTAAATCAATTTATATAATCAATAATAAATTTACTATAGATAGTTTTTTTCATTAATTTTTCCAAATTAATTCACAAAGTCAATTTTATATATAAATTCACTAGATCAACTATGCATCAATTTACATTAACGTACTTTATCAAAATCAATAGACCAACGTTTTTAAATCAACTCAATTCAAAAAATGCAATTATTGAATAAATTAAAAAAATAAAAAAAACCTTAATTGACCATACATTCAATTTCAAATTGTATTTTTCATATTTTGTACATTGTCCATTTAACCCTGGTTTAGACCTCCTCGACAAAGATCCTGGTTCTCTGGATCATCTTCACCGTGTTCGTGTTCTCATCCTCCGTCCTCTTCTTCATCCTCCTCTACCTAGACCTTGTCCTCAGGTAATATCATCCTCCGTCCTCTTCTTCATCCTCCTCTACCTAGACCTTGTCCTCAGGTAATATCATTCTCCATTTTTCATCCTCCTCTACCTAGACCTTATCCTCAGGTAATATTATCCTCCATTCTTCATCCTTCTCTACCTAGACCTTGTTCTAGGTAATGTTATTCTCCATTATTCATCCTATTCTACCTAGACCTTGTTCTAGATTATCCTCCATTATTCATCCTCCTCTACCTGGACCTTGTTCTAGGTAATATTATTCTCCATTATTCATCCTCCTCTACCTAGACCTTGTTCTAGGTAATATTATGCTCCATTATTCATCCTCCTCTACCTGGACCTTGTTCTAGGTAATAGTATCCTCCATTATTCATCCTCCTCATCCTAGACCTTGTTCTAGGTAATATTATGCTCCATTATTCATCCTCCTCTACCTGGACCTTGCTCTAGGTAATATTATCCTCCATTATTCATCCTCCTCTTAGATCAGGGTGCGAATTTATCTTATACAAAATAGTATCTTATAATCTGCTTGATAAAACATTTTATCATTTAAAATTAAGATATTAAAAACATCTTACTTTTTGAATAATTCATGATTCTTTTACAGAGAGAAAAATTCGAAAGAGCTTGCTCTGTGTTGTGGAGCATTTAGGTAAGAAGAAATAATGAAATAATTGCATGAAATAATAAAAAAATATGGAATTTGCATTCACTTTTAACTCTAATTGTCAGTTTGGAGTTTTAACTTTTAAATGCATGACCAAATTTTAGCAAGGTAACAATGTAAGTTTACATTTACTTACAGGGATATCCACAAAGTTATAACTTGAGACGACTTTACTGAACCTAATCAGTCTTTGTATAATTCAAGATTCCCTTCAGCTGTAAACAGTTTTCTTGTCTTTCAAAATCATGTTATTATAACATTTTAAGTAAATGCATGGCATTAAGATAATTCTTAATATTATTTCAAAATCATGCTATTATAACATTTTAAGTAAATGCATGGCATTAAGATAATTCTTAATATTATTTCAAAATCATGCTATTATAACATTTTAAGTAAATGCATGGCATTAAGATAATTCTTAATATTATTTCAAAATCATGCTATTATAACATTTTAAGTAAATGCATGGCATTAAGATAATTCTTAATATTATTTCAAAATCATGCTATTATAACATTTTAAGTAAATGCANTTCAGCCGTTTTGACGTTTATTGGATACAAACAAACAGACAAGCCAAATTTATATATAGATGCATGGTATTAAGATAATTCTTAATATTATTTCAAAAGAGTAATTAAGTCGTCATCAAAGGTTCATATTCTTCGTGGTTAATCATGTATTTTAGATTAAAAAAAGTATTCTTGATGAATGATATTTACAATAATTTGTTCAGTCATATATTTTGTTGGTGACCCTTGGGTCAGGAATGATTAACCTATGTATTCTAGTGTTTCCCTGTTAACCGCTCTAAGGATATGGATTTCTCTGCCAGATGATTATGAAGATGAGAGGTATATACAAAGACGACATTTTGCACAGTGAGACACATAAAATTGTGGAATATATTCCTATAGGAAGACCACATTTAATCATATGTGCATTTGATGTTGTTGAAAGCAAACAGTTTTTAAAGTTTCTTGAAATCATTTATTAATATAAATGAGTCTGTGAACACTGCACAATTAGGGTATTTTCTATTCATTAGACAATTTAAAATTATTACTTGAGTCTAACAGTCGTCTTCCTAACTCACAGTTTTGTGGGTCCCACCCATTGTGAAATCTTCAGTGACTGACCCTAACACAATTTAAATTCAAGCTCATTTCAAGTACAGGGCGTCTTTTAAGCAGCTAGAACAAGCTGTACAGTACACATATTGAATGACTATATAAAGCAAAACGGGAAAATGTTTGTAAGGAATCAAATTATAATTAATAAAAAGTCGTCTTCATTGTATTGATGTAATTGTCGACTATTGTGGATTAATGTATACAATTACTTACTGTATTTTTCAACGAATATAAAAAAAAACTTAAACCTTGATATTCCTCCTAGAAACTTTTTTGTAAACAAAATATTTGGGTTTCTGTTAATCTGAATCAGAAATGTTAGAATTGTTAGAATGTCGTCTTTCCTATGTTCACTTTAATACCAGTATAGTAATCTCTATTTTAATATTTCTCCGTTTCAATGTTTGTTTGTTTGTCCGTCCATAACCCATGAAGTCCTTAACAGAGAATGTTTATTTTCGAGGCAAAGATGTGTTCACAAGAAATATTTCTGTTTAGATATTCTGCAGAAAATACAGTTCGACTTCGGGAACAATTAGCTCAGGTATGTTATGTACAATGTACATACATCAGGTATATCATGTACAATGCATATACATGAGGTGATCATGTACAATGCTCATACATTGGGTATGTCATGTACAATGTACATTCATCAGATATATCATGTACAATGTACATACATATATTAAAGTTGCAGTTCAGTTCATTACAGTATATCAGAACAAAGAATTAAAAAATATTTAAAATTAATTGTCCTTTTAATGAAGTACAATTAAGTATTTGTTTTTTTGTAACTTTTTTTTTCTAAAAATGGGCCATGAAGGAGTCGTTTGATAATAAAACAACAGTTCTTTCGAATTAAATTTTTTTATTATAAAAAATGACAATGTCCAAGAGTATTTTGTGCAGAGGACTATGAGACCTGGAGGTGCACGTGAAAGTCGTCTTCTTTCCTCCTCTGGACCCTCCTCTGATATCATCACAATTAGGAATGATTTCCTACTAAGGTAAAATTAAAATATAATGCACTGAGAACCATTTTACTTAAAAACTGATTTAATGAGTAAAACTCTTGACTTTTTAAAAACATCAAAAACACTAAAGTAATGCAAAAACGTCGTCTTCCTATTTTTATGGTTCTCACTGTATATAAACAAACACTGGTTTGGTAAAGGGTTACTAAGATAAGATAAGATAAGATAAAGTTTATTGCTAAAATAAATGTATCTGTATACAGATAGAGTTTACAATCACAAAATTGATGATTATATTAACAGTACAAGTATAAAGCAATTAGGTGGAAAATAGCTCTTGGCTGTTTTGATTATTTTTTCCACCTAATTTTAGTAATAATAACAAAACATTTCAATTAAATAGATTTAAGAAGAAAGATTAGAGATCAGGGTGCGAATTTATCTTATACAAAATAGTTTAGACATTAATTCGAATAACTAGAGTTTAAAGTAATTTTCTGACATGTATACATAACAAATATCAAAGCATATTAAAACATATCTAATTAGTTTTACATGAAAAGCAATTCGGTTTATAACACATTGTCCTATAATTTTCAAAATGAGAATTTAGTAGTCTATTTTTAAATATACTTAGAGAGTTGCTTCTTTTTAAGTCAAGAGGCAGGTTATTCCACATCTTAAGAAGAGAGCTTGATGGTAAATACTGTAATGAGCATATTTTGAGTATGTCAAGTTGATAGTTAAGAGATCTTTCAAAGTTTCCAAGCTTTTTAAAAATATTTTCAAAAGATGCAGGAAGAAGTTTATGTGTATATTTATACATAAATATAGCTTGGTTAAAGTCTACCAGATCATTAATCTTTAGAATCTTATACTTAAGGAAAAGAGGATCACTATGAGACGTGGCTTTTGAGTTATCAATTACTTCAGTTTGTTTTTTACAAAACCATTTAGTGACAACATTTATTTTTTACAAAACCATTTAGTAACAACATTTATTTTTTTAAAAACCATTTAGTACCACGTATATATATGTTTTACAAAACCATTTAGTACCACGTTTATTTTTAACAAAACCATTCAGTACCAAGTTTATTTGTTTACAAAACCATTTAGTACCACGTTTATTTTTAACAAAACCATTTAGTACCAAGTTTATTTTTTTACAAAACCATTTAGTACCACGTTTATTTTCAACAAAACCATTTAGTACCAAGTTTATTTTTTTACAAAACCATTTAGTACCACGTTTATTTTCAGCAAAACCATTTAGTACCAAGTTTATTTTTTTACAAAACCATTTAGTACCTCGTTAATTTTTAACAAAACCATTTAGTAACCAAGTTTATATTTTTACAAAACCATTTAGTACCACGTTTATTTTTAACAAAAAACATTTAGTACCAAGTTTATTTTTTTACAAAACCATTTAGTAACCACTTTTATTTTTTACAAAACCATTTAGTACCACGTTTATTTTTTACAAAATCATTTTGTAACCACGTTTATGTTTCACAAAACCATTTAGTACCACGTTTATTCCTTACAAAAACAGTTAGTAACCACGTTTATTTTTTACAAAACCATTTAGTACCACGTAAATTTTTTACAAAACCATTTAGTAACCACTTTTATTTTTTACAAAACCATTTAGCACCACGTTCATTTTTTACAAAACCATTTAGTAACCACGTTTATTTTTTACAAAACCATTTAGTAATCACGTTTATTTTTTACAAAACCATTTAGTAACCATGTTTATTTTTTACAAAACCATTTAGTAACCACGTTTATTTTTTACAAAACCATTTAGTAACCACGTTTATGTTTTACAAAACCATTTAGTACCACGTTTATTTTTTACAAAACCATTTAGTAACCACGTTTGTTCCTTACAAAACCATTTAGTACCACGTTTATTTTTTACAAAACCATTTAGTACCACGTTTAATTTTTACAAAATCATTTTGTAACCACGTTTATGTTTTACAAAACCATTTAGTAACCAAGTATATTTTTTTACAAAACCATTTAGTACCACGTTTATGTTTTACAAAACCATTTAGTAACCACGTTTATTCATTACAAAACCATTTAGTAACCTCGTTTATGTTTTACAAAACCATTTAGTAACCACGTTTATTTTTTACAAAACCATTTAGTACCACGTTTTTTTTACAAAACCATTTAGTAACCACGTTTATTCCTTACAAAACCATTTAGTAACCACGTTTATTTTTCGCCTAGTACACGTTCGCCTAGTTCACTTTCGTCTAGTACAAGTTTGCCTAGCACACTTTCGCCTAGTACACGTTCGCCTAGTTCACTTTCGCCTAGTTCAAGTTCGTCTAAACAACATTTTGCCTAGATAACATTTTTTCTAGACACAGTTTGCCTAGATAACATTTCGCCAAGATAACATTTCGCCTAGATAATATTAGAGGGTAGTTTTCGCCAATATCTCTTCTTCAAATTATACTTGGAACCAAAAAATTACGCAATTTTTACTTTAAATTTCACAACTCTTTTGGTGCAAATCATTTAGTTAGCTTCTGACAATGATATTGACATGAAGTCCTGAATCCAGGCGTGGAAAATTAAACGAGGCTACAATGCCTAAAACTGAATATCTAAAAATGCTGGCTCATGAGCATATTCCCTTTAAGAGTAATTTTGTTACCGTTATAATGCATTTTCTGTTTTTTGATTAAATTTTTCTAGAAAAAAGAGAAACTTTAGACATTTTCGAAGAAAAAATAGTGAATTTATCTAGGCGAAAATTACCCTGTAATGTTATCTAGGCCAACTGTTATCTAAGCGAAATGTTATCTAGGAAAACTGTGTCTAAGCTAAAATGTTATCTAGGCAAAATGTAGTCTAGGCAAAAAGTGAGTAGGCGAAAGTGTACTAGGCGAAAATGTACATAGGTGAAAATATACCAGGCGAACTTGAACTAGGCGAAATATTACTTAACCCTTCACGAAAGGAGAACATTTCAGAATTGTCAGAATTCATTTCAAACCTAGAAAAACGACAACATTTTTAATATTATTGATCGTAAAAAGGTTTCAAGGGTATTACCATCTTTGCATAATTTGGTCACTTAAAATTACGCTTACAAAGTTACAGTCCCTTTAATAGTTTGAACAGAAATGAGAGACATGAAAAAGGGAAAAAACATTAAAGTCCAATCCAAGTTTTATACAATAAAGGAATTGAGTCTTTGTCTTAAACTCATATTTTCTAATCCCTGAAAATTTTCAACTTGATTTTGTAGACCTTTGATATTTCAAACTATAATTTCTGTCAGATTAAATAATCTAAGTTAGAAAAATCATAGGTTTACAACTTTAACCTGCAAAGATATAGGAATAAGGAAATTTTAAATTGTGACAGAACTCAATTCCTTTTCTTAATTTTCAGTGAGTTTCAAGTTGTGAAACCTGAACAGTACTGTGATACTCTTCCCCCTTCATACTCTAGTCTAGATCTAGCATTAGGTAGATAGATAGATAATAATAATAATAATAATAATAATAATAATAATAATAATAATAATAATAATAATAATAATAATAATAATAATAATAATAATAATAATAATAATAATAATGATAATGATAATTATAATGATAATAACAATAATAATAATAATAATATTCATAATAATAAAAATAAAAAACATTATATTTTAGACCCTCCGAATTATGAAGAAGCGATACGAAAAATATCAGTTTGATTTTTCTCTAAAATTAACCATGGGTATATCATCATATTATTTGATCATAGCTTTTATATTTTTTTGATAATGATATACTTGTAAACATTCATTTACATTTTCACGCGAATTTTTGGGTGGGGATTCGAAGGAGTTGAGTTTTTGTCACAAACCCAAATTTTCTAATCCCTATATCTTTGCAACTTGATTGTGTAAACCTTTGATATTTTAAACTTAATTTATTGGATCTAACAGAATCCATAGTTTGAAATATCAAAGGTCTATGACAGTGGGCTTCAAAGATGTAGGGGTGAGAAACTCAAAAATTGTGACTAGAACTCAGTTCCTTTAAAACATTTATATGCTTGTAGATTTAAATTCATGAAGCTTACTGTACTTCTAGTTTCTTTGAGAAGTTGGTAACAATTGATTGTGTTTGATTGTTTTTCTTAAATATTTAGGATTTTTAAAATCAACAAATATCATAGTTTTATCTTACTAATAAACATGGAGAAGAAGATGGCTGGGGGGGAGTTAAACATTTTTTTAAAAAAGAATTTTGATTTAATTTGATAAAATTATTTATAATTCAAAACTATGGTGAAGATTTACAAAGGAGAATTCAGATTAAAAATAATCTAAGTTTGATAGTTGGATAAAATTAAAACAAATTCACGAAACTGTTGATCTCAAATATTGTATTAAAAAGTTTTAATTTTTCAAATTTTCATTCCATATGCCAGTTGTGATTCCTCAAATGTATTTAAATGCAAAGACGAGTTTTTAATCGATATTATGTTAAAATAGAATATAAATATTTCATTAAAGTAGGCAAATGAATTGATTCTTTGCCACAAGCTGAAATTTTCTAATTGCTATATCTTTTCAACCTGATGCTGTAAAGTTTTGATATTTTAAACTTAGATTATTTTTTATTATTCATTTTTAATGGATTGCAACATTGGGTTTTAAAGAAATAGGGGTTAGAAAATCCTTTGTTTAGTTTAATAATTCATAAAAACAAATAATTTTTTTTCTTCAATTTAAGTCGTCTTTTATCACCATAATTTAATAAAATGCGTTAACATGCGTAAAAATACGCCAAATAAATGTAAAGCAAGTAGGGGTGTGTAAGAAGATGAGAGGGGGGAGCTTTCTGAAAAATCGCACAGCAAATCGTTTCAGTTGATAAATCTAAAATATTTCTGTATTAGTTTAAAATTATTTTTATCGTCTTCCTATGTTGTATTAGCTTTTTCAATCCAGTTTTTATGCACCCCTTCTTCAATTTATGTTAATTGTATAAAATACGTTGTATAAATAGATTTAAGAAAAAATTATTATCTTCAACAGAAAAAAGAATATAATAAATGTAAACTGAGTTATTCGGAGAAAATGCGACTGAAAGGAACTAGAGAGTAATATTAGATATTCATAATATATATATAGATGTCAGGGATATGCAGATAGATATATAGATAGATAAATATAAAGATAAATACATATAAAGACAAACAGACAGACAGACAGACAGACAGACAGACAGACAAACAGACAGTGAATCTTTAATTTAGAAAAAATAAGTAATGGGTAGACAAGGCAATAAAAGAAATCAAAATTTTGTATTCCCATTTCTTGGATTCGTTAATCTAGACAAGAGGGTAATCAAACTATAGGAGATAAATTTTAGGTTCAGTTCTTCAGATTTTCACCTCAAGAAACTCTATTTAGATAAAAGAGTGGCATGTCCAGTACCCAATGGGACCCTGAAAAAAGCTTTATATGATCAAGAATTTAAAAGATATCCTCGTTTTCCAAAATTTGTTTAATTTTAAAAATGATTTCTCAATAGAAGTGACTTCTACAAAAAAATTGTTTCGAACTTAATCAGATTAGGATTTACAGGGTACCGTTGTGAATCGACCAGGCAACGTTGTAAATGCAGAGTTACTTCAAATATCGTCTTCAACCTGGTCCTCAAGAAGAGAGTTCTTTATACCAGAGTTTCATGGTATAGAGAATTATGAAAATCAGAGATATTAAGAATCAGAAAAATGTAAATGCTATCAGAGCTGGGAACTTTAGATTGGATATTCTTAATCCCGAACGGTTAATTAATCTGGAGATTATTAACAGGAAGAGAACAAAACTTATTTAATCTCGAGATTAAGAAAAAGAGTGGATCAAGCATTGATCTTGATATCCACCATTATAAAGTTCCCAGCTCGTTATCTATTTCTGTACCGATTAATGATTTAACACAACCCCATTCTTATTCAGAGACTTTCTGAAAACTGATATACTTTGGTCTAACGATACAGGTAGAAAATAGAAAATACATTATCACATAACAAGATACAAAGATAAAGTACGATAATATTACGATAATATAACGATAATATTACGATAATAGTATGATAATATTACAATAATATTGCAATAATATTGCAATAATATTACAATAGTATTACGATAATAGTATGATAATATTACAATAATATTGCAATAATATTGTAATAATATTACAATAGTATTACGATAATAGTATGATAATATTACAATAAAATTGCAATAATATTGCAATAATATTACAATAGTATTACGATAATATTACGATAATATTACGATAGTATTACGATAATATTACGATAATATTGAATTACGATAAAAGTACGATAATATTATATTCATTGTAGATTTAGTGTAAACAAGTTAGAAATAGAGAATTATGAATATTTAGAATTACAGGAGAATATACATTATTTAGAGAATTTGAGAGTTAGAAATTCAAAGAGCTAGAAAATAAGATAGACCAAGAGTTAGAGAGTTATTATAGAATAAAAAAATAGAAAATTAGATTAATAGACAGAGTTAAAGAGCATATAGTAGGTAAGATCTAAAGTTAGAAAAATTTGTAAAGTAGATAAATAATAAACATATTGTTAAAGCATTAGAAATAATTTTAAAATCCAAAAGGGGGGAGGGAGAAAAGGTGAAACAATGAGGGGGTGTGAGGGGGGTGTTTTAATGAGGTAAACATACAATAAACGTCTCATTTTGATTAGATAGATAGATAAACGTTACTTCCTGCTTCCGCATTCTTATCAGTTAAAATCAGATTAAAATAATATAAAAATATTTTCATAAACTGTTACAAATACTTAGATAAGTAGAGAAAGGGTTAGGAAGGGTGGAGGAGGGATGGAGAGGGAGGAAGAGGGGAGGAGAGTGAATCAATAAGTCAGACCTAATTAAAAAAATTGAACTGCGTTAGAATCGTATATATGATGGACCTAAAGCCGTAATTTCACAATTTATAGACGGGCATACATTAAGCATGAGTGAATGACAAATCCATGTCTTTCTCTTTCAAATTCATCAATTTCAATTGTGGTTTTTAATTCTAGTGTAAACAATCATATCTTCCACATTATTGTTTAGTTGAAGGTTGTGAAGGTACCACTGTAAATCGGGCATGCCCTCCTTTAACTGGAATATTATTTAAAATTACGTCGACCTTCTCTATAAGGTCGATCAACATATGTACGCTATATGTTGTGAACGATCTGTGCAAATGTGTTTTACAGGTTTTATGTTTATTTTTATAGCAAGGGATGCATTGTATATATGCACATGTGTGTTAATGTACTAGTGTATTGCATAATGTAGATAATAGGGCTAAAACTTATTCACATTTTAAAATATTTTTACCTTATCAAATAAACAAAGTACCTTAATTGGAATTGATGTTGATAAAAATTTAGAAATATATTTTAAAATTGATATTTTATTATTTTACGACTTGTTCTTTAAATTGAGCAGAGCAGATTTATTTGAAAATAAATCATTGGAATTTATATAAACAGATATAAAATTTAGTCTGAACCATTCACGACAAAACAGACAAAAATAACGACAAAAAGGACAGACGCAAGCAGATAGAAATATAAAACATTTTCTTCCTTTAATATAGGAGCTATGATTAAATCAAACGTAAAGAAATAAAATCCATTTCTGTCATTAAAACTAAAAAAGAAAAAAAAGAAAAAAATGAAAACAATAAAGAGTCAAAAAATAATTAATATAATGTGATTAATAAATTAGAAATGTTGTATACTGATTATAATGATCTATTCTTTTTTATTTTAGGCGTGGATTAGGGGGGAGACGAAGGGCGAGGGGGGGAGGGTAACCAATAAGTTGAGATAAGGAAACAGGGGGGTGTGAGTAAGTGGGAGGAGGGAGGGGAGGGGGTGAATGCGTACATAATCACATTTGCAGCTTAACCCTCAGCCGTCAAAATTTTAGATTAATCAAACCATTTTTGGATAAATAATTGAGTTTTAACGTGCAAAGAATTTTTGAGCATAATTTGAAGTCAACAGAGCGGGAATATGACAATTACAAGTTTGAAAAATGGCAGCCTGATCATGGAACTTAAACAGAATATGAAATAGTTTCAAAACATCATTTGTTTTATTCTAGATTTGAATTTCATAATTTATCATTTTCTTTAAACCCAATACTTTTTAATAATCCAACCATCCAACTTTCCAACCATCCAACCATCCAACTTTCCAACCATCCAACCATCCAACCATCCAACCATCCAACCATCCATTCATCCAACCATCCAACCATCTAATTATGAATGTATCTAGCCAGTAACCACGCCCCTTCTACCCATCTTAAACTAGGATTACTCAATAATTCCTAGTTAATGGGTATTATAATCTGCTAAGTATATTTTAATACCACTATACCACTGGACTCATGTAATCATCTTTCTTCTACAATAGCATATATAAATACATTCATTCTATTCATTATAGCCATGTTATTCCTTATAATTTATCATATTCAAATTTACCTTGATTTTCATTGTATTTTCTAATAAGTATTCAACTACATAAAAAACAAAACATTCCTATATATGTTGCGTATAACCGGGCCTTTCAGCTAGTAATACATATTTATCTACATCTGTACTTTGCTTGTCTGTTTAGGTGTTTGTTTGTATCCAATAAAAGTCAAGACGGCTAAACCAATCAGGCTCAAATTTTGTATGGGACCTCACATGACCACAGGGAAGGTTTATGAATGGTCAAAATTTCAAAAATTAGCCTCCAAAAAAATTCGATTGTCATTAAATTTTGAACATCCACGAAATTGTTTTACAAAATCTGCGAAATTTTGTTTGATTTTGTTTTACAATGTATACTAAGAGAAAATGTTTAAAATTGAAGTGCAATATTACGATAATATTACGATAGTATTACGATATCGTGTATAAAATGAAATTATGCTCGGGCGGTGTGAGAGAGAGAGAGATACTAAAAATTAAGAAATACCCCAATCTGGAAATGTAAGCGCCTTAGACCTATTTTTTGAAAAAATAAATATACAATAAACAACTGCAAAATTTGCACTATCAATAATAATTCTTTTGCCAATTCCGATGAAATTGTCATGTTTTATGGCGTTTTCATAATCCTGGTTTGCGAAAGTGAGCAAAACTGCGAATAAATAATATATAATTATTTCA